GTCCTTGTTCTTGTCCAGGAAACCCTCCACTGAATACCTATAGGAGGGGGTTGCCGTGTTGGGGGCTCTGCCAGCCAGCCCTGGGGCAAGCTGTATCCCGTCCAGAGGGACCCAGGTGTCCGGTCAGCCCTACCTCGCCGACCCTGGCTGCGGTGGGCCTGGTGGGCTGGGAACCTCCCATTCAGGCAAGGGCTGCTAGGAGCACCCAGCCCCAGGCCCTTGGCCAGCCCCATGGAGGTGAGGTAGGTGTCAGGGGGCATGTCCCTGGGGAGCACCCGCGGGAGTCTTGGGGATACCCTATGGCCCCATGGTCTCCCATTCTTCTATAGCATCCCAAGGTCCAAATGCCCCCTCAAGGTCTCCCAGGACCCTCATAGCCCCTTGTGGTCCCAAATAGCCTCCCATGTTCCCCATAGCCCCCAGCAGCTTTCTATAGTCCCCATAGCCCCCATGGTCCCAAAGGGCCTCCATTGTTCTCTGTGCAGCCCCATGGCCCCCCCGGACCCTGACAGTCCCCTATGGCCCCATGTCCCTCCATGGCCCAAATGGCCGCCCGTGATCCTATGGCCACCCATGGTCCCCATGGCCCTCATGCCCCTCTGCGGTTATCCGTGGCCCCTCCACAGCCCCATGGCCACTCATGGACTCCCATAGTTCCCCATCGTCCCCTATGGCCCAATGGCTACCCATGGTCCCACGTGGTCTCCCGTGGTGTCTAATGGCCCCCTATAGCACCAAGGTCCTCTATGTTCCCTTGGCCCTCCATGGCGCTCTATGGATCCCTGTGACCTGTCCCCGCATGGCCCCCCCATAGCCCCATGACACGTGACAGCCCATGACATAGCCCCCATGGCCCACCATGATTCCGCATGGCCCTCCATAGCTCCATAACACGCATAGATACCCATAGTCCCCTATGGTCCCACAGCCCTCCAAGATGCCCCATGGCCCCCCAGACCCCCTCACGTGACATCTCCAGCGTAGTGCTTGATGCGGAAATCCCGGCCGAACTCCATCGTCTTGTCGGTGGGGCAGAGCTGGGCAGAGAGGTCGGGGAGTCAGACCCCACGGCCCTGTACCTGGGGCCACCACGCACCCCCACCCCACTCACTGCCCCCCGCAGCACCCCAGGAGCCGATGGACACCTTGCGGCTGGGGGGGGGGGGGTGGGGCGCACGCAGGGGGGGG